GTTTAAATTCTTATTTTACCTGGTTGCACCATGTGATGATTATCAGTAAGTACTTTACGAGAATTATTAGTTGCTGTAATTTTTTTCTTTGTGTCTACAGTGGCTGTGAAACTTTCCCCTCTTGATGTTTAAACAGCCTAACTTATTGGGACAAATCACTGTTCCTCTTTTAGGGCATAAATTGGAAAAAACACTTAAAAGTATCGTCCCATGTGGACGTTTGCCGTCCTGCCCAGAGTGAATGAATGTGTGATAAGTGCTTCACCTGTTGTGCAACATCCAACCAAAGACATGTCTTGAATATATTGTCTTTGTATTTCTATTGTATTGTTAAGTGGTCCCAACTGTACCACAGTCAATGGGGGTATTTATGAGTATATATGTTTACAGGGTCTAACACTGTCTGAGTCAGCCGGTGTCTGCCCGGTTATTTTTGGTCTGGTGTCTCGCAGTATGATGTATGATCGTCACAAAAGATTTCAGAGCCACAGTTACAACCTGGAACTGCTGTTTTGCTGAGAGTCAATTGTGAGCGTGTTGTTTTAACTTGGAACGGTTAACATACCTGGGTCCAGCTTGACAATTTTGATAGCGGCCAGTTCAGATGTCCTGATGTTACGGGCCTGGAAGGGATGAAAAATATACATAATAAATATATTCATATACATTCTACCCTACAGTGACCCGATCCTTGTATCCAAACCCATTTTGGGGACGAGGATTGGTTTTATATATAAATAATCAGGGAGCTAAATAACCAGATGTTGAGGTCATTCCAAAACAATGATAAATAGGGTTTGAAGTTGAATCCCCATTTTTACCTGCATCTTCTGGATATCCTCCATAAACAGGCCGTGACAAAATCAAATAGATGAACTTCATCGAGCTGCTACAGAAAGGGATGCTGGTCCAACCAGTCCCCATGGAAACCACATCAATGTTTCTCATCTAATTCCATTAGTTTAGTGCTCCCCTTGAACATCAAGCACCACACCTGCATCAAACTGTGTTTTTCATGATTGGAATGCACATTCCGCATTGAGCCTGGTTCTGCTAGAGGTTTCTCCCTGTTAATGAGGGAGTTTTTCCTCCACAGTCGCCAAAGTGCTTGCTCATTGTGGGAACTGGGAACTATATTTAATAGGACTTCAAGGTCTTGACCTTCTATGTAAAGTGCCTTGAGATAATGTATATTATGATTTGGCGCTATAAAATTAAAATTGAATTGAATTGAGTCTCAAGATAACAAAGAGAAAAATATTTCATCCTTTGAGACTTCAGGGGCTCCTGAGGTGTAAATGTCATTTAAAACACTTTACATCACATAAAGTCAAACCTGTTCAAACGTGACCTATTTCATAGCAGTAGAGCAGAGTTGATGGTGGATGTTGTTTCAAATCAGCTACAACATGTTTTCAGCTTCCTCAATTCTTCCTGGGAACATCAGTCATCCCCATTCGCTGCTCTGACGTCTCATGCGCCGCTTCTCACTCCAGGCATTCAAAACAAACGAGGCGGCAGCCAATAGGATCACGCCACAACTCCACCTGTGGCAGGGCTGCACTCACTTCCTGTTTTCTTTCCTGTTCTACCACAGGACTTCCTGTGACTACGGTGATAGTAACTTCTCTGACATGGTTTTCATTTAGTGGAGCCTGAAATAACAGCTGCTTATAGTTATGTCCTAA